ATCTGCTTTTGATGTGTAGCTCTGATGAATAGTACAAGATTGTATTTTGAATTTTTGGACCTGGTGTTTGGTCACAGTAGATTTCTTGTACTAGTGGACCCAATGTGTATATGAATATGTATTTCTTTGGTATGAAATATGTATTACATGCAATGTGTGGCTTGGGGCGTTACAGAATGGTATCAGAGCCCGAGTTTAAGGGATTTAGGTATATTAACAGCATGATACCTAGACTTAAACTGTTTTATTGCATGTTAAGGGTCTCGGACATAGTTAGCACCATTGGAAATAAATATGATAAGTTGAGAGAACAGTGTGTAAGGTAAATTTTAATTACGCCTGGCCAGTGTAATTATAAATTTACATGTACATATCTGAACTTGAATACTTTATTGTATTTGGGAATGTGAATACGTGAATATTAATATTGAATTCTTCAGATGTCTAACCGCACAAGAAGGTATGAAAGAATAGCTCACCCAGAAAATGAGGAAAGGGAGGAATCATTGGTCAATTTTCCAACCAGTACGGCTGGAAATAGAGGCCGTGGAAGACCAAGAGGTGAGAAGTAGGAATACGATCACTTGGTGACCGGTTTATTGTTAAACCGGACAAGGTATGAGCGGACTAGTGTCCGGATTTGTTAACCGGACAATCTTGAAATTGTTTTAAGTGATTAATCGATTTAACAAGTATGTGGTATGTTGACCGGATTAGATATCCGGATAAAAGTTGAATGTTATTGTTGACCGGATTTGATATCCGGACAAAGTGGAAAGTGTTATCCAGATGAATGTTGACCGGATTTGTTAATATAATTTGAAATGATATTTTGGGGCTTAATGAAATTTACATTTTATTATAAAATGAAGTTTTATAAATGTTTTTGATCTGAAAATGTTTCCAATGGCTGCAGTCTATTTGGAATTATATTTTTATATAAATGGTTTCTACCAAGCGTGGTGAYGTAAGTCTGTTTTGGTATGAAACTATATTTTGAAAACCTTCCTACCAAGCGTGGTGACATAAGTCTGTTTTGGTATGGAAGTGAGTTTTTAGTTCCCTCAGACGTGGTGACTTTTGTCTGTTCTGGCTTGGAACTGGGAATGAGTACTTTCAGACGTGGTGACTTTGTCTGTTCTGATAAGTGACTCTGTTTTAAATGAAGGAATAAGGGTGACATATCAAGGAGAGGTGTCCATTTGTTATAAGGGTGACATATCAAGGAGAAGTGTCCATTGGATATAAGG